AGGAACAATCCAAACCATTTGGATCCATAGCAGTGGGTAAGTCCATTAGAAGGGCCGCAGGGAGGGGCAAATTCCTTGCCAAAGCCCATCAAAGGGCAGATGAAATTAAAATTCATCAGGGTCAAAAATCTGTTCTTTAGATACCCTGGATCATGTGATCTGCCTTGCCCAATGAGAAGAGCAAATACCTGTCTCTTGCTCTCTCTGTCTCTATCACTCTCTCATTTCAAGGAACTCTTCCACAACCATGAGAACAAAATCCTGCGGGTTTTGTGCATTATTTCCACCCCCGTGCCCCGCTTTTCTTTCTGGTTTCCACACAGCCAGGATTGTCCGGTCTTGTGTTGACAGCCGTGCCCTGGAGCTGAGTTTTGATCAAACCCTTTGGGGTCCCTTCCACGAGGGCACCGACAGAATGGAAGGGGAGGCTCAGAAAGGAGTTCACGAGCAAATTCACATGTCCATTAGCCAAGTCGAGTCAGTCAAGGAAACGTTTCATGCTTCCTGGGAAGGAAAACGGTTATCGGAAGCTGCTGTGTTGACTTTTCACCCATCGGTTTGCTTTTGACCTTCTCTGAGATTTCAGCACTTTTTGAACTGTCAGGGAAGCCGGATTCCTGCAGCCGATTTATGAGGCCAGGACCCGTTTTAATGTAGGGAGAGGTCTGGTTCCTGTCCCGGATTTTTTGCCCAGTATCACTATCAGAGGAAGCCTGCGTGCTGGTCCTGCTTTTACCATATCTGTGTTCTAAATCACTCCAGCATGTGTGTGTACTACATCACTTGTCATCTGTGACTCTGCCCTAACCCCGTTCTAGCCACAAGCACCGACCATTCCCCAACCCCGAGGGGGAGGGTTTGCCTGTATAAATGTGTCCTGAATCTCAAGCTGAGCCTGTACCAGTGCTAAACAAACTGGGTTGTTTCTTGTTCCTCAGAATCCGTGTCTTTGTCTCTTCCCCTTGGCAGGAATTCTAGAGTGTAAAGGGAGGATCAGAAAGGGGTTCAACGAGCAAATTCACATGTCTGTTAGTGAACTCGATTCTGTAAAGAAAACGTTTCACGCTTCCTGGGAAAGAAAATGGTTAGTAGAAACGCTGCATTGACAAGAGAACCGGATTCTCTCGAACGCCCGGAGGCTCTAATCCTAGATGAATGTGTCAGTGAGCTATCTCTGTCTGTCTCTCTGTTGGTCAGTCTGTCTCTGTCTCTCTCTGTCTCTCTCTGTCTGTCTTTCTTCTCTCTCCCTCCTGCCCCATCTCTCTCCCCTTCTCTTCATTCCCTTCTTCCTTCCCTTTTCTTACTTTCCCAAGGTGAATGTCTCAGTGGGGTTCTTCCCAGCCCCATTTTTGTTTCCCTTCCTTTCCTTCCCTTGTTCCAGGGATCACACCCAGGTCTCCTGTGTTTCACCGGTGAGCCACGTCCCTGCCAGGCATTGCTTCCTCCTAGTTTTGGTGAGGGACAATGTTCCTGGCTGTCCCCCAACTGCAAGTAGTTTGCTGGTGATCTTTGACCCATAGAAGTATCACTCTGGGGCCCGTGAGTGACAGGCTTAAAGCACATCTCTTGCAGAGTGAGAGCAATAGTACAGTGAGTAGGGCGTTTGCCTCGCATGCAGCTGACCTTGGTTCAATCCCTGGCAACCCACATGGTTCCCTGAACTGGTTAGGAGTGATACCTGAGCACTGAGCCCAGAGTAAGTCCTGAGAACTGCTAAGTGTGGCCTTCCCTCACCCCAACCCCTCACCCCTGCCCACCACCCCACCAGGTCCCTGCAAAAAAAAAAAAAAAAAGGTACATGCTTTGCATGCAGCCAACCAGTATTCCCTGAGCTTTTCTGGGTATGTGGTCCTGGAAAGCCCAAAGCACTGGAGGGGTGACCTAGGTAATCCCCCTAGCACAGCAGGTCACATTGAACTGGGTGAGTAATAATCTCCAAGAGGTGGGCAGGCCTCCAGAGCATTGCTTGGAAAGTAAAAAAAAAAAAAAAGTGCCACAGTGATTGTCTTCCTCATTTGCATGGCCCTCCTCCCTGTATTCCTCTGGGTCCAAACGTCCCTATTTTCTAAGGACATCAGTCACCTCATTTTATGCCCTCATTTTACCTCATTACCTCTCTAAAAATCTTCTTCAAAAGTTCTGTGTATGAAACGATATCTCGATGGGGGCTGGAGCAATAGTATAGTGGGTAGGGCATTTGTCATGAACGCGGCCAACCCGGGTTTGATTCCCAGCATTCCATGTGGTCCCCCGAGCACCACCAGGAGTAATTTCTGAGTGCATGAGCCAGGAGTAACCCCCTGTGCATCGCCAGGTGCGACCCCCGCCAAAAAAAAAAAAAAAAGCAAAGAAAAAAATACAATATGGCGAACAAACAGTATTGTGCTTCAAACCAGTCGGACTTTCTAGAAAGTGTTTCAGATGTCCTGCTCAGAGGATCTGGGGGTTAGGATTCTCACATATCTTCACATATCTTTGCAGGGGGTGGGGTTTGGGGGACAACTTAATCCGTCACATTTTGATGCCCACCTGCTTTAGTTTCTCAGTGATCTCTCACTACCCAGATGGGTAAACCCAAATCCCTCCCATCTCCGCACCCAGACCCCGACCTTCACACTTCTGGTTCCTTCTGCCTCAGACCCTTTCTTCTTCCCTCAGCTGACAGCTTTTCTTCAGATCAGCCTTTTTGGCTTGCACCCTCATTCCCTGCAATCTGCCACTCCTTCCCTTGTAGCTATGCTACTGGGCTTCTAGTTTTAGTTGTTTTTTTTTTTTATTTTTTGGGGGGGTTACATCAGTGGTGCACAGGGGTTACTCCTGGCTTTGCACTCAGGAATTACTCCTGGCAGTGCTCGGGGGGCCATATAGGATGCTGGGAATCGAACCCGGGTCCGTCTGCATGCAAGGCAAATGCCCTACCCGCTATACTATCGCTCCAGCCCCCAGGGCTTCTAGTTTTTAAAAAAATTATCTGTCTGCCCCCACTGGACTGTCCACCCTTTGCAAGAACAAGCACACACAGCAGAGGCCACCACGGGTGGCAACTAAGGGGCACAGAGGCGAGAAGTCAAATCTTGGCTTCAGTTGTGTATCGGGACAAATGCCACAGGCTCTCTGTGCCTCAGTTTCCTCATCTGCAAAGTGGGAGGGTGGGGCGTTCCCTCATGGGGTTGTCAGGTGGAGAAGATGGGTGAAGACGAGCCAAACCTTAGGAGCACTGCTGTCACTCGGCTGAAGGGGGACCAGGGATAACAAGGGCCCAAGAGATGGCTAGATGGGCTGAATACTCACTCTGCAAACAGGAGGCCCAGGTTGGGTCCATGGAACCATGTGTCCGAGCACTGCCATGGTATTGCCTGAGCCCTACTGTGTATGGCCCCCCCCAACACACATACAACAATTGACGCCTCTAGGAAGGAGCAGGGATGGCCCACCAGCAGAGACCCTCCAGCCCTCCTGGTACTCTGTACAAGTGCTCCAGCACAGCCCAGGGCTCCATAAATATTTACCAACTAGACACACTGGTGCTAAGCCAGAGGCAGATCGCCTGGGCTCCCTTCTGCCTTGCTTGCTCTAGCAACAGCTTCTACAAAGAGCCTAATTGATGGGTTCCCTGTGAATAGGCGCCAGTCACGTGACCTCCCTGCCTGGGGAAGGTTCCAGGGAGTCAGCCAACATACAGTCGCTCCCAGGAGACGTGGATTGTGAGAAAAGAGAAAAGAGGGACCGAGGCTGGTGGGGGGAGGGGTGGCACCAGCCTCTGCCCCTCTTTTCTCCTTTGGTTCCTGGAACTGGGGCTCGACGTCCACCAGCATCTCAGGGGGGCTTCCAGCTCCCTCACTTGTTAGCTGATCTTTCTCTTCCTCTCTCTCTTCTTCTTTCTTTTGGGATTTTGTCCCCATTCCGTGATGCTCAGGGCTTGCTCCTGGCTCTGTGCTCAGGAATCATTCCCACTGGTGTTTAGGGGGACCCTAGGCAGTGCTAGGCATCAAAATGGGGTAAGGCAAGCACCTTTAGCCTCTCTCAGACCCTGTCTGATTCTGGAGATTGTCCTTTTCCCAATACCTTTGGCTGCGTGATCCCCTTCCTGGAATAAAATAAAATGCAGTGAGGCTGTGAGAGGTGGCCATCAGTCACACAACTACTTCCTGCCACTCACCACGGGCTCTACCCTGCCTAGAGGCATATGGAAATTGGCCGTGCCCCAGTACCCTCCAGCCCCCCCCCCCACCCCCCGCATCCCTCTACCTAGATGTCATGGTCATTTCAGTGCTGGTGGCCGTGGCTGATCAGTGAACAGGGCAATTATTAGCCCACCAGGTTACTTGGGTGTATGTTCAGGCCAGAGGGCAGAGGGGTGCTGAGGCAGTGACAGGACCTCCAGATCTGTATCCTGTGATGTTCAGCCAGTCCCCTGAGCTTGTTTCTGCTCTCAGCCCTGGTGGAGGCTTACATGCAGTGGGGAGGATGTGATTCCTGCAGTTAGAACATCAGCTCCCCCGGGGCTGGACAGGCTCGCTCTCCGTTTTCTTCCCTCGTGTAGCTATAGGGGAGAAAGCCTCTGTGACAAACGGTGGCAGACAGCATGGAAGGAGGGGCTGGAGTGATAGTCCAGTGGGGGAGGGTATTTGCCTTGCATGCGGCTGACCCGGGTTCAATCCCCACCATCCCATATGGTCCCCCTAGCACCGCCAGGAGTAATTCCTGAGCACAGAGCCAGGAGTAAGCATCTCCTGAGCATCACTCAGTGTGACCCAAAAAGCTAAATAAATAAATAAATATTTTTAAAAAAAAAAAGAAAGAAAGGAAGAAAGAATGCACACAAGGAATAGAGATGCTTTTTCCCAGAAACCCTCTGATCACAAATGCAAATACCAAATTTTCCAGTAATTTCCTCACTCTGGTAGAAAGATGGGTTGGGGAGACCTCCCCTCACACACACACACACACACACACACACACGAAGCTCCCCCTCTCCCCCCTTCTGCTCATAAACTCACATGGACCAGACGTCGATTTTCGGGCCGTATTTTTTCCTGGCCAGGAGTTCCGGGGCAGCATAGGCCGGGCTGCCACACTGCGTGCTGAACGGGTCCGAGTGCCCTAGGATCCCCGCACAGTTGCTCAAACCAAAGTCTACGAGGAGAGAAAGACAAACAGGGTTTTGAGTTAGAACTTCTAGTGAAGGAAAGAGGATTGCTTGGGTTGTTTTTTGTTTTTGCTTTTTGGGTCACACCCAGCGATGCTCAGATATTACTCCTGGCTCTGCACTCAGGAATTACTCCTGGAGGTACTTGGGGGACCATATAGGATGCTGGGAATTGAACTCAGGGAACCCGGTGGTCAGCAGTGCGCAAGGCAAATGCCCTCCCCGCTGTGCAATTGCTAAAGTCCCAAGGGTTTTTTATGTTTGTTTGTTTTGATTAGGTTTTTTCCCCTTTTGGGGAGAAGGGGTTAATGGCAGCAGGAAAGGAAACATTCACTCAGGCTAACACATCATTGAGAATCCTAAAAGAAAACCGACAGTTGGGAACTCTATTACTCTAGCTCAGTGGGCTCCAGAGAGAAAGGGGTGTGTGGGGGCAGGGGAGGGGGTGGTGGTTCCTCCTCACCCCAATCCACCCCTCTCACCCCCCCCTCCGTGCCCTTCCACCCCGCCACATTCTCCCTGAAGACCTCCCTGGAAAAATGCAACCAGAGCTTCAGTATGTTGAATCAAAACATATTTTCATCCTAGAGATGAGTCATCCAGGAGAAAAAGCGTGCCGACGCTTTCTAGGACTTTCGAGCCTCTCAGAAACGAACCTTCAGGCGTCTACAAGGTGGCCAGAAGACTATTTTTTTTTCTTTTTCTGGCCAGCATGTCCAGTTCACTTTTCCAGCCACATGTTTGCATTGCACACGAGCCTCTTAAACAATTCTCCCAATGCACATGGTAACATATGGTGATGTGAGGAGGGGGAGGAAACACACACACACACACACACACACACACAATAAATGAGACCACGATGATGAATTTTGGCCGGAAAAAGTAACACCAGAAAGACAGCAATCAGGGGGAGACCTCCTACCCCATAGCTGCTTTGTTCCTGGCAGATCAAGGCTCTAGGGAAGAGGAGAGAAACCCCCCCCTTCCTCCTCCTCCTCCCATCCTCCTCTTCCTCCACCTCCTCCTCCTTCCTGTCCAGCTACCTGGGTCCATTAAGCCTTTTTGTGCTGTGTTTACTTTCCGATCTGAAAGATAGCGAGACTGACAGGTAATTAGAGAGCTGTTAGGGCCCTGTCCTCATCTGATAGCTGTCCTCAATCTCTGGGGATCAGAATTAAGATCCAGGCTGTCCCTTTGAACTTCAATGTAAATATTATGGTTCTCAGCCCCAAACATTAAGAGTCCCAGCCTGTGGGGCTTGTGAGCAAAGGGGGCTGCGTCGCAGACGCAGACAGACTGCCTGGCTGGGACCTGTTTCCACCTGCCCGTGGCAGGACCACTGCGCTGAGAAACTTCAAGCAGGAGGGAGACTGGGAAAGGAATGAGCGCCACCTACTCCTAAAGCAATACCCACTGGGGATCCCTCAGCACTGCTGAGAATTCTCCCCAAGGTGGGGCGTGGCGCTGTAGAATGAAAACGGTCTACAGAGTCATATAGGCTGCTCCTGTAACTGAAGTCCCCTGCTCTCCGACTTAGGCCTGGAAGATGAAGACTTGACAGCTCCTGTGGGGACTGGCAAGCCAACCTCCTCTTCCTTTGCTCTCCTCTCTTCTCACCTCTACCCTTGCTGGCTGCCCCCACCCCATCTCACTTTCTGTCCAGCCAGCACCAAATGGCCTCCCCAGCAGGTCATTCAGGAAGCAGAGATGCCTCAGACCCTGCCTGAGAAGGAGCTCTCTGTTTCAAAGACTCCTCCTCCCTGTCTCTGTGCCCCCATTTGAAAGTCTCCGGGACCCTGTCTGCAGTTCCACTGAAGAAGGAGTGGAGAATATTTGTTTTGGTTTGGTTTGTGGGGGGCCACACATAGCGATGCTCAGGGGTTACTCCTGTCTCTGCAGTTATTCCTGGTGGTGCTCGGGGAACCATATGGGGTGCCAGGGTTTGAACCTGGGTCAACCACATTCAAGGCAAATGCCCTATCTGCTGTATTATCTCTGCAGCCCTGCAAATATCTTTGTAAGAAGAAAAATCCCAGGACTGGAGAGACATTACAACGGGTAGCACTGGAGAGACAGTATACTTGTGTTGTTTGCAGCCAACCCAAGTTTGATCCCTGGCACCCTATATGGTCCTCTGAGCCCTGCCAGAAGTGATCCCTCAGCAGAGAGTCAGAAATAAGCCCTGAGCACTGATGGGTGTGGCTCAACCTACCTGCTCCCCGATCTCTCCCACCCCAAAACAAAAAATAAATAAACCAAAAAAACCAAGAAAAAGAAAAATCTCATCTCCCTCAACTGGGATGGTTGTTTGAATGTTCTGGGTTTGGAAATTCACCTACAGGAATGTCCATGAATATAAAAATATGTGCAAATATATGGACAAGTTATAAAATCCAGATCCTGGAACCGCGCAGCCGCATTTGCGGCCGCGTGACATCTTATCAAAAAAATTTTTTTATGACATCTTATTGTCTCATTTCCTATTTTGGACAAACTTGCAGGCTATCGAATGTAGCCTGCCCACAGGGCAGAGTCTGGCAAACTCCCCGTGGCGTACCAAATATGCCAAATACCAGTAACAATGATGGGTCTCATTCTCCTAAATAGCCTTGAATATAATCTCAGGGCTAGGATGAAAGAGACGTTACTGGGGCCTGCTCGAGGCAATCGACGAATAACAGGATGATGAAATGAAAAAAAATATGGACAAGTGGAAACCATGGAGGAAGCTGATCTGGGAGACAAGGAGAGCTCCCAAGCAGAGCTCAGGAAACCCAAGTTAATTTCCTCTCCTGGTGATTCTCAGCCACCCGGCCAGCAGTTCAAAACAAGGGCCTGAGGTTGTGGTATTACCAGGCCCTGCAGTGCCAGGGATTAACCGGGTCACCCCAGCAGTGCCCAGAGAAGGGCCATGCTTAGGGCAACCACGGGCAGGGCTGGGATGGAAGCATGGTCGCTTCATTCCAAGCAAGTGCCTTAACCCCTGTGCTAGCCTTAGTCCCTCAAGAGTCTAGTTTGTTTTATTTGGGAGTCACACTTGGTGGTGCCCAGGGATCACATCTGGCTATGCTTGGGGGACTATATCGGGGTTCCAGGAGTCACATCTAGGTCTGCCACATGTAATGCAAGTAACTTCACCTCTGTGCCATCTTTCCAGCCCCTCAAGATAATTTATTTTTGGGCTACACCTGGCAGGGAATACTCCTGGCTGGGCACTGTGGGTTCAGGGCACTGTGTGTAGTGCCTGGGATGCAACCCAGGTCGATCACGTGGAAAACAAGCACCTTACCCACTGTATTATCTCTCTGGACCCCACTCAAGATGGTTTTAATGGGGGCAAGCTCAGCTGGAAAGGTGGTAGACCTATCAGTACAGATGCCCCAGAACATATGTCAGGGTTACTGCGATTCAAACCAAGGACTGTGTCAGCAGGGTCAGCAGACAGCCTAGGACACTGCTCTCTGCTCTCCCTGCAGGCCAGGGGTCTGAGGGCCTCACGCTCTCCCAAGCATCACCAGCTATGGCCCTGAGGTCCCGCATTACCAGTGGCTCAGAGCACTGACATTTGGGCTTACATAACCAGGCCACACAGCTCTAGGAGTGACCCCTGAACTCCCAGAGCATCCCCCTCATCCCTGGTGTAGCAGGAGGCTTCTATTTGGAGGCCCAGAAAAAGAGCATTTGAATCTTGGACTAGGTCACTTCCTCCACATAGGCCAACATCCTCCAGTCCTGAGACAGGAAGAACTCACTTTCCTGGGCCCAGGGAGAATCGAGACATCAGTTCTGTAACTCGGGATGGGACTGACACCACCAGCACTTCTGGTTCTCACGCCATGAGTCCTGGACAAGGTCCCATCCCACCTGGTGTTCCTGGTTATGGAGGCTTTGAGGTCTGTGGGTGAAACCACACTGTAGGATTCTCTGGGCCTGGAGCCGGCAGACACAGTTCTTAGAATCATGCACTCTTCTTGATTCTGTGAGTTTTTTTTTTCTTCTCTCCCTCCTTCCCTAGGTTCTCCCCCCCCCCCCCCCTTCAAGTCTGGGGAACAAGAAACTGTGGCCGGCTTCAGCACAACTTCCAGAAGATCGAAGAGCAGTAGATTTGGGGCAGGGAGGGGCTCAAATGTATTTTAAAGCAACTTCTGTTGACCTAGCCCAAAGGGTTTAATTTAAAATATATCTCAGAGAAATAATCAGCACGTTTCACGTTCACGATGATAATTATTAAACTTTTACACATGCGCCTATAATTAGAAATGTGAAATGAGAAGTCGCCTCCCAGGAAATGTCACTAGGTCAGCCTCATTACTTTGAAGCCCTTTCTCCTCTTCCCCCCACCCCCCACCTCCATTTTTCTGCAAAATGAATTGTGAAACTCTGATCAGGTGCATACAGTTTCAGAAAATGGAAGTGCCAAGCCAGTTCTAAGCTGTGGCTCTTCTATTTTAAGTTGATAATGAGCTATAGCATTAGCGTCACACCGGGGTGTTATTTGTTTTTTTTTGGGTTGTTTTTGGTGGAGGGGGAGCGGCAAAAATAATCCTGATTAAATCAACTTTCGCTCCCCGTTTAGTCTAGTTCATCTGAAACGGGGCTTACCAGGCTTAAGTGAAGTTATCCAAATCAAATTATTACAAAGAAAAAAAAAACCATGAAAGAGGAAATGGTAACTGCTCTCATAAGCCTTTGAAAAAACAAGTAGGCAAAAACCTTTGAAGAAAAGACTCAAAGGACTTTGATGCTGCAAAATGACAGTTAGAAAGCCAATTTGCTCCAATTGTCCAACGGAGGGGGCACGAAAACCTACCCTGGAGTGCTTCCCTCCAGCCCGAAGGAAAAACCATGCAAGTGAAGATTCTGCTGAACGAAACGCTCTTCCCAGCATCCTTCAGCAATGGGATGGCTTTATCACCAGGGTGGAGGGGCTTGCTGGTTTTCAGGGGGGGTAAGGGCGCCCCAAGAGACGTTCTGATGGAGGGAAACCCTATGATCAAAGTCCCCTTCCCAGCAGTTTTTGCAGCTAGGGGAGAAGGGGGGAGGGGGGAAATCTGACCCAGCCTTTTGTCCAGATGAGTTGAAAGGCTGCTGGGCTTTTGAGTCCAGCGTTGCCAAGTGGAGAACTGCTGACTCAGGGGTTGGAGAAGGTGTGAGGGGCCAATGGGAGCCCCGGCCTCACCTCCAGGGAAACCGTGAGTGCACACTTGGGTATGCCGGCTGCTTCATCCCATTGGTACAGGCCCCTGACATTTGGCTGTTGGGCCAGTGTGAGAGGCAGCCACTTGAAAGCGCTTCCACTCTGCAGAAACTCTTCTTCCAAAGGCTTCTGTGCACTTTTTTTGTTGTTGTTTGGGAGGAAGGGTTTGGGGCATTCCAAGCAGGATGCTAATACCAGCTCCTTCTCAGGGGTCGCTCCTGGCAATGCTTAAGGGATTATATAGAGAACGGACACTCCCCCAATGCCTCCCCTTCCTACCCACGCGCGCGTGTGTACACACACACACACACACACACACACACACACACACACACACACACACTTTATTAGCTCTCCAGCCCCTGCACACACATCGAACCCAGGCAGAGGTCTGTGCTCTTCCACACTGCCCACTCCTTAATACATGTGTGGGTGCACGCATGGTTGTCTAGGGCTACCACTTCAGCAGAGAGAAGAGAACGCAAGCCGAGAAGCTTCTGGAAGGTGCCAGGACACAGAACAATGCCTTGGCGCGCACCTGGCTATACACAGCAGTCTAAGTATATATCTCCCAGTGTTTCCCAAAGAGAATGATATGACCTTCCAGCGCTGGTGGGGGCGCTCTGGAAGGACCCAGAAGGTTAATAGTCACCTCAAGTGCCCTTGAAAGCCTCTATTTGGCTGTTCGAAGAAGCTAGATTTGCGGGGATCGGGGGACAAACTGATTTGGGGGTTTGGGGTATCTTTCCCTCTCCCCGTGAAAGGGGCAGGATGCCATAGAAGTTAGGGAATTTCGAGAGACACGGCAAGGAGTCCCAGAAGACACCACATCACCGGAGATCTGAGTCCCATACTGAGCCAATTTCACGGGGGCACATCAGATGGAGCAGGTGCACTCTCCCCGCCAGCTCCAGAGGAAGCCCCAGAGACCATGAGCTTCCACAAGCAAGGCCCAGGTATGCGGGTTCTAGGATTAAGACTCCAGGTCACATGGCAGTGGCAGAGGAGTTGGGCTGTCCCTCGTGGCTCCCCACTCGCTCTTGACCCTGGCTGTCATGCCCAAAATCTGCCTTCGGGCACCATCTTAGTACACCAATACCTCTGTCTGGTCCAGAGGTTCTCAACTGAATCCCAAAATGGACTATCGCCCTACAGAGATGTCTCTGGACCCCAACCATTTACAATCTTAGGATCCCAGAAGCACGCAGCTGGATCTCTCATCATATTCAAAGTGGGCAACAGAAAATTAATTATCTAGCATCTGCCCCTGACAAGCAGGCTTGAATGGTAGTGGGAAAATTCAAGCAAACTATAATGCCCCAAAGTAGAAAGATAGCTGGGGGAAATTGTCTGCCATAGAGGCAGGGGGAGGACTGGGATTGGGGGGGGGGGGGGGAACGGGATACTGGGGACATTAGTGGTGGAGAATGTGCACTGGTGGAGAGATGGGTGTTTGATCATTGTATGACTGAACCTCAAACATGAAAGCTTTGTAACTATCTCACGGTGATTCAGTAAAACAAAACAAAACAAAACAAAAAACAAACAAAAAGTTAGGGGATTTCTGGCAGCTCAGGAGCAGGGACACTGACTTTTTCTGACTCCGACTGACAAAGCTGCCAACAGTCCTCGCTCTGCTGGTGTCTTACAGGTCTCCGCAGCTCTGGGGGCAACTATTGCCCCAGTTTCTGTCCACATTTTCAAAAGACAAGTTATAGGTGGGCCACACGGGCCAAGGAATCTCAAACCAACTCCTTTCCTCAACCTTTCCTCCATTCCTCCCCTGACCCGCCCATCAGGACACGCCTCGCCTCTGATAACCCGGACAACAGCCCAGGAGGACATTCTGTAGGCTACAGCCAGACAAACCCATCTGTGATTGGACCAATTACACGAAACAGTGAAATCATTTTTTTTTCAAATCCTTCAAATTGTCCTAGAATGTGCTACAAATATATTCCTGAGAATCCTTCGGGGAGAAAACCTCGTTTCCTCTTCCTTGCTCATCTCCTAATACTGATTCTGCTCATCACAGCTGTCAGGGTGCGTGTGACCACCCAGCCGGGAGACTCCCCTCAGCCCAAAGCCTGTGATTGGGTGGGTTGAGATTCACGGTTTAAGTTGCCTTCAGCACCTGCTAACAAAATTTCCTTCTTGGGTTCTCAAGCTCAATTCACTGGGTTTCATGGCTTGTTCTCACCCCCCACTCACACACACACTGTTCAAGTCTCTTTCTGGCCATTGGGGTGAAAGAAAGGAGAAGAATAAAAGTGGGCAACATCTAACATCAGGGCATGAAAAGGATGCCCTGGAATTTTGCCAAGAACAAGCCTAGGGCCCCACTCTGGGCATTCTGCTCGGGGACGTAGTAAGTACAGTGGGAGTCCCCCAGGACCCTGAGTTGTGAGCTAATCGTGACTTGACTCTAGGAACGATTCCGTCAGACCGGAGGGACATGCCTTCCCTCTCTGCCCATGCACCACTATTTGAGGAAAAGTTTAAAGGAAGGGTCTACTAAAGGTTACACTCAAAAGAGAGGCCAGGGGCTGGACAGACCATCCGGTGTAGAGGGCACTTGCTTTGCACGTGGCTAAACCCAGTTGGATCCCTAGAACCACATATGGTCCCCCAAGCACAATCAGGAGTGATCCCGGGACACAGAGCCGGGAGGAAGCCCTGAGGAGCTACACTGGGTGCGGCTCAAAACCGTAGTCAAAACAGTAGTCATGTCAAGGCCCCAACAGGTCACCGAAAAGCAGAATCTGACAGGACTGAGCCAGGGGTAGCATTTCTCAATGAAACTGTCTTCCCTGCTTTTAAAGAATTTTGATGGCTAATTCAAATTCAAGGAACCCCTACAAACACTCAGTTCCGACTGACTTGGTAGAGAAGCCAAATTTGAAAGATCCAAAGAACAGCTTTCCACCAAACCCCCAGTCATCACCGTGGCATTCCCTTTATGGTCACTGAATGGTCTCTCTATAATCTACCTTCCTAATGATGCTTAAATCAGTATTAAAATTCACTCTCGGGGCTGGAGCGATAGCACAGCGGGTAGGGTGTTTGCCTTGCACGCAGCCAACATGGCCAACACAGGTTCGATTCCCAGCATCCCATATGGTCCCCCAAGCACCGCCAGGAGTGATTCCTGAGTGCATGAGCCAAGAGTAACCCCTGAGCATCGCCGGGTATAACCCAAAAAGCAAAAAAAAAAAAAAAATTCACTCTCACTTCCAATACCGATGATGAAGTATTGGTAGTAAAATGAGGTCATTCTAGCAGGTGGCCCAGGAATTAGAAATAGACCCCAGATGAATCCAGACATAAAGAGCTGAGAAGGGTCAACAATGGAAGGCTCACTGTACTTTAAGAAAAAGAAAGCCATACCAATCAGCTTGATATTGTTGTCTTCATCTAGCAGCAAATTTTCTATCTTCAAGTCTCTGAAAGAAACAAAAGCACACAGCATTTCAGAAAGACATCTGTAGCGGCGGGAGGACATTTTTCCCTGGAAGGGAGCTCAGCGGTCTTGAACTCACGGCGAAGTGACACATCAAGCCCTCAGCCAAAACTCACGCAACCAATAACTAAATATTCATGAAGCCAGATATAGTTGATGCACCCCCCCCCCCCAAGACAAAGGGCTTCAGAGGAGAGTAAAAGCATGGAGGGCAGCACAAGTGGCCAAAAACATTTCCGGAAGAACAGCAGTGAGAATTGCAAGGAATTAGGTGCCAAGAGACAGCAAGACACATCCCATGTGACAGGTACCTCCTGAGTAGGGAGGGAATATATGTGTAAACACACGTGTGGGCAGGCTTGTGGGCAGTGCCAAGAAACAGACTTGGGGGAGTGGAAGTCTGGGCATCAATGGAGAAGATATGCCTTGCAGGGTGAGGCCCCGAGTTTGATCCCTGGCGCCAGCCCACATGTGAGCGCCATCCATCAGCACTGGCCTTTAGAGTCCTGGTGCTCACAACGTGATCTCCAGCACGTGACTGTCGAGCATGTATGTGTGAACATGGCTTCCACATAGCACACAACAAGCTGTGGGGACAATGACACAGGTTTAGATGGAGCTCAGGAGCAGAGCCGATGCTTCACATGGGCCGAAACTGACTTCCAAATAAATCAAGAAAAAGAAACAAAAAAATGAGGAAGAAGTGGTTGACCCGGGTTCAATTCCCAGCATCTCATATGGTCCCTGAAGCACCGTCAGGAGCAATACTTGAGTGCAGCACCCGGAGTAACCCTTGTGCATCGCCGGGTGTGACCCAAAAAGAAAAAAAAAATCAGAGAGCCCCTGACCCTGAAAGAGCCCCCAGTACAACATCGGGCTACACTAGCACGCAACAGGGATGAATGGAGATGTTATTGGCGCTTGCTTGAGCAAATAAATAAACAGGATGAGTGATACAGTGATGGGAGCCAAGAGATAGGATGGTGGCGATGGAGCCTGCATAACACGTATTCAACCCTGATTCGATTCCTGGCACCCCAGGGTCCCCCCAACCCAAGCATCCCCTGGTACCACTCTCGAGGCCCCCAACTACACCAGGGCAGCCCAGCTAGCCCCCAGCACCATAGGGCCCGAGCAGCAAGGGATTGTTCAGTCCTTGGATTGTGTCACCCCCCTGGCTGAGAATTACAAAGCCAGGGGGGAGGGGGTGGGGAGAGCAAGCCTCCCCCTTCGCAAATTTGTTTTGATCTCTAGAAACGAACCACTTGGCAAATTGCAGCACGTTCTCCTAAGCGCTGGCAGTGTGAGAGCACAACCCTAGAAGTTCTTATCAAAGCTAGGCCAAATGCCGGTGCCTTTTCGTTCATGGTTCCCTTGGGGGGAGTGGGGTGGGGGCGGGGGTCCTCCCGGGCTACCATGCCTTCTCCAGCAAGCCCTTTGTTAGAGAAAATGAAAGAAGTGAAACTGTGCTCCCGACAAAAGGAGACTTTGCAAGCACTCTGGAAGGCATTTCCCCTTTGCTGAGGATAATTGGGACCTAATACTCGCCAGCCCCTATATTCAAGTGTATGCCATAATTGCCAGGCGTACATGGGCACATACAAACCTGTGGGGATCAACAGCCCCCACGGTGCTGGCGAGATTCGAAAGCAGAAACACCATTTCACCTCCAGGAAGACCACCGCTTGAGTTCAGGAAAATTAAACCCCTCTCCCTGCAAAGAACGGATGTCACACTATGGCTTGAAAGAGAAATTTGGTTCAGAACAAAGATGATGGGGGGTGAGGGGTGGGAAACAGCTGAAAGAGACCAGGTATGAGAAAGCGACTGCCAAGATGAATGAATCGGAGCTGGAGATTTCTGGGATCACAAAAGCCTTGTGAACAATTGCCATGATTAGAACGATATAAATGGAAGACCAGAGAAGAAAAAAAAATGCAAGGGGAAAATATTAGCTTTTAGAAACCAGGAAAAGAGTCATAAAGATGGATGGGGCCAGAAAGATAGTACGGCAGGTTAAGTTGCACACGGTCAACCGGGGTTCAATCCCTAGCATCCCATATGGTGCCATGAGCCCATCAGGAGCCATCCCTGAGTCTAGATCCAGGTGTAAACCCTGAGCATCGCAGGGTATGGCCCAGAAACAATAACAACAACAAAGATCTTGAAGATGCAGAGAAGTCACTATCGGGAAAAGAGCGATAGCACAGTGGTAGGGCATTTGCCTTGCATGCGGCCGGCTCGGCTGACCCAAGTTCAATTCCTCCGCCCCTCTCGGAGAGCCTGGCAAGCTACCAAGAGTATCTCTCCTGCACGGCAAAGCCTGGCAAGCTACCCTTGATGTATTCGATATGCCAAACACAGTAACAACAAGTGTCATGATGGAGACGTTACTGGGCCCGCTCGAGCAAATCAATGAACAATGGGAGGACAGTGCTACAGTGCTATAAAAAGAAATGGGTTCATGGGGCAGGAGCAATAGTAGTATAGCGGGTAGTGTTTGACTTGCATGTGGCAGACCTGGGTTCTATCCCCAGCATACAATATGGTACCCCAAGCCCACCAGGAGTGTACCCTGTGTGCAGAGCCAGGTGAGACCCCAAAACAAAACAAACAGACAAACAAAAAGAAATGGTTTGAAAGACACTTTTCTTCCATTGATCCCATAGCATCCCCTCATCCCTTTGATAAAGAACTGCACTGGGGCAGGGGCTGTTGGTCCAGTCATCACCTTTGGTCAAGGATTCACCAGATTCCTGTGATGAGTACCTGTGAAGCAGTGACTGGCAAAGGGGAAAGGTGAGACAGGGGCTCGAGGGACAGCACAGCAGGGAGGGTGTTTGCTTTGCATTTGGCCAACCAGGATTCCATCCCTAGCATCCCATATGGTCCCCTCCAGCACTGCCAGGAGTGATTCCTGAGTACAGAGCCAGGAGTAACTCAGGAGCATTGCCGGTGTGACCCCAAAAGCTACCCCCAAAATAGCAAAGCTGAGAATAAAATAACGAGAATGGAGGAGATGGGGTTCAGGAGATGACATAAATGGCAGACTCGTGGTGGGAGGGAGAGAATCTCCAAACCCTGACTTCAGTAATCCGTCAGTGAGTTGGAAACTTGGGGACAGAAGCGTGTACAGTAGCTTTGCCGTGATCATCTATCAGAAGGCAGAGGCTGTGAGGCATCCTTGAGGGGGTGAATGGGCCAATACCCTCCGGGCCTCCTCACAAGGGAATGTGAATCAGAGATCAGAAAACAAGAACTGTCGTGTCATGAGACGTCATGGAGGAACTTGGCATGAAGGCTCCTAAGTGAGAGAAGCGGGGAAAGACCGTTCCCAGGGAATCGGCTACCTGCTCTGACTCCAACTAGCTCAGCTTCCACAAAAGGCAAAGGACAGAGACAGAAAAAAAAAAAAAAGGTTGGGGGGAAGAGGGAGTATGTGTAGGGAGCACATTTTCCTCAGAGTGAGCAAACCATCCTTTCTGGCCGTGATGATGGCTAAGTCACATCCCACACATTCAAACCCATGAAACTACAACCACCAAGTCTGTTGGTTGTGTCACAGAAACCCTGATATAAACTATGAATCGTAGTTGACAGTAATTATCAATATGGATCCATCATGTAACAGATATTCCATTCTTATCACCGCGAACCAAAAGTCGGGAAAGCAAGGTAGAAGGGGAAACAGGCGGGTGCATCATTTGACCTAAACCTGAAACCACTCTAAAAGCCAAAGTCTTGCTCATTTTTGGTAAGGTCATTACATAACCACTGCAGATTTTATGCCAGATTTTCTTTGCAGAAAAAGTGGGGTGCAATCATTATGTGACACTTTTAATGTGATTTTTAGGGGAAATGGGGTGCTACTCCTAGCTCTGTGCCCTGTGATCCCTCCTGGCAGTGTTCCAGGACCATGCAGTGCTGAGAATCAAGCTCAGGCTTCATGCATGCAAAGCCTGCTCCCTGCCCATTAAGCCATCTCTCTGGCTCCAGCTTTCTTTGACAATTGTGGTGGCAATACTGAAAAATAAATAAATAAATAAATAACCAGGGTGCAACGATTCTGTGGTGGGAACAGTAGCTTTGGGAGCATTTCCCCCTTTCCCATAAGATGTGGACTAGGATTGTAACGCTTCCACCCAGCACCTCTCTGAGGTCATTCACTGTGGAACCTATTGGCTGCCCAGATCTAATATGGACTAATTTCAGTTCAGACCCTCTCCCCAACAAACAATTCAAAAAGGATGAACTGGCACATCAGTGTCTTACAACATACTTTATTGCATGTTACCGTGTTACTGTGTTTGGCATATTGAATATGCCACGGGTAGCTTTGCAGGCTTTGCCGTGTGGGCTAGATACTCTCGGTAGCTTGCTGGGCTCTCCGAGAGGGGCAGAGGAATCAAACTCGGGTCGGCCATGATGGCTGCGTGCAAGGCAAGCGCCCTACCCGCTGTGCTATCGCTCCAGCCCATACTTTATTACAAACTTTATTATATTTTTACCCTGGAGTAGAGGTCACACCCATCGATGCTCAGTGGTCATTCTCAACTCAGTGCTCAGAAGTGACACCAGAGTCTGCCACGTGCCAGGCAAGCACCTAACCTCCGATACGATCTCTCTGGCACCACCAATATTCTTAAAAAAGAAAAATCCTTGGGGTTCACGTGAAAACATTGATGGCACTGGCTCTAGCTCCAGTCTCAGAGCTAAATATCTGGTGGTGAAATGTCAGATTTTCCAAGCAGGGAGGAAGGTTCTGGCGGCTGATTAGTTCTCCTTTGATCAAAGTGATGATGGATAATTTCACAAGATGCTTAATTTCTGCTTTCTGAGTTCCCCATTCTCCCTCCAAGGAGAGAAATTGGGCCACACTGAAAGTGTCACATAATTATTGCACCTGTAGAGGAGGGGAAACCCCAAGTTCAGTCTGAACCCAGAAGTAGAAGAAATGGACCCCTAGGTGGACATAAAACAGCT